CGTATGGCCCTGGGTGTGGCAACCTTGGCACTTGCCAAGGTAAGGGTGTCGTGGACACTAGGATCCAGAGACGAAAGAGGCTGCAGACGGTGGAAAGAGGCTGCAGACGGTGGCTGTGGACTGGCGGAAGCTGGCGACCAGTGTGACCGAGAGTTGGAGGAGCGCTGGCCAGAAGAGGGGTGACCAGTGGCGACATTAGCCGAGGCAGGAAGGGGAGAGTAATTCACTTGAGTTTGGCGGAGAGATAATTCTCGGTTAATCAATTTTTCATGGAGCTCATCGAAAGAAATCGGTGTATCGCGTCCCTCAACAATATCTATTATGGACTTATAGTCATCACCAAGTCCATCAAGGATTTTCTCAATAAAATCTTCATGATCCATAGGTTTTCCAAGAGCAGCCAGTTCATCGGAGCGGCATTTAATAACCTGCATATATTCAGAAATAGATTGGGAACCTTTAACAGCAGTTTTGATTTGATTTTTTATTTGCTTGATGTGGCCTCGAGTAGGATGAGCGTAAGTATTTTCTAAAATCTGCCACACATCACGGGAAGCGGCCGCCTGTTGGATGAGTGGAATTAAAGAGGAGGAAAGAGAGCCGACCAAGGCACCAAACAAGAGTTTGTCTTGACGAACCCAAGTAAGGTAGTCCGGATTCGAAGCGTCGGCGTTGTTGACACGAATTGTTGGAGAAGGAGCTGGATGAGAGCCATCAATGAATTTGAAGAGGTCGTAGCCAATAAGAAGGGCCTCAATTTGCAGCTTCCATGAGAGATAATTCGTTGACGTGAGTTTCACAGTGTTGGCGTTGGAGATATTGACGAGAGTGAGAGGCTTTGTAGGGTCCTGAGTGTTAGGAATGGTGATTTGGGTATTTTCTTCAGCCATGATGAGAAGAGAGAGGGGAGCCGAGAAGAGAGGTGGGCTGCCGGCGGTGAGAAAAAGAAAGGAAAAAAAAAAAAAAGAGACCGGCTGGCTCTGATACCATATAAGCAAATAGAATGGTGGGAATTTAATGGCTTGCTTTTCATTGATTGAAAAGGTGTATTTATAATATACAACAGAATCTGCTGAGTAAGAGAAATCAGGAAAACTAAATCTAATCTAGAAAAGTCAAACAGAAAATCTAATTACAGTTATTTACAATTTAAAATTTAAAACATCATTATCTCTATTACATATATGACAGAGCTAAAGTGAATATTGTAATGTTTTTTTGACGTTTCAAGTTATTACCTAATACCAAAATTGCATAAATTTTGGTTTGTTCAAGTGCAGTTCGATGGAAGACAAACTAATTCACAATGGAACATCGAGGAAATTTGGGTAGAATGGGCAAATAATATCGTTGAAGCCGTTAACGGATGTGCCTGAGTGAAATTCATCAAAGTTCTCTCTAGTTATTGAGAAATAGCGAAATCTAGTTTTAATTTTAGATTTGGTGCCATGCGATTATGATTCATGCAAAACTTGTTCAAATTATAAACCTTTTGTCTATGCTTTTATTAGTATTTTCTCTACTAAACGGAGAACTTTTAGTTTCATTATACTTCATACGTTTACATGTAAAGTTGTTTCAAATAGCATCTATAAAATGATAACTCTTATAAATTATGTATTTACTGTAATTTTTTTTTTTTTTTTTTTTTTTTTTGTTTTTTTTTTTTTTTGGGGGGACGATAAGGAAATGAGGAATGAAAAAGAAAAAAAACATTTTGTTGTCGTGGTAGACAATTGTCGTCAAATATTTACTAAACAAAGAAAAAACTCGGTTGTGACTAGCCACTTTTAACAGCAGTTGCTAAAATGAATGTTGTTAAACGTAGATTGTTTAAGTGTCATTAAAAGGGATATAGTTATAACGACACTTAAAAAGACGACAATTGTGCAATTGTCATTAAATTTTTTTAACGACAATTTGGGGCTGTTGTTAAACAAAAATTCTATAGTAGTGAATTATAAATATTATATTATAGTATAATATAATATAGTTGTAACTTTTAGTTATATTATAACTGGAATATTATTGTTTGTTAGATAATTTTATAATATTATAATTATATTAACCATCTTATATTCTATATCATAGTTATATAATATATTACATAATAATTTTATTATATTATATTACATTACATTTTATATATTATATTAATTATATTGATATATAAAATATTACTGTTTTATGTAACATAAGGGTTTGTCAACAAGAAAATATTCATATTCCATTTCATAATATTCTTAAAATTACAACCAAACAAATGAATTAATTTTCTTTTCCGTTCCATTACCATTACCATTACCATTCTCATTCTCATTATCATTATCATTCTCTCATTGCAACCAAATGCACCCTTAAGAGAATATTGTTTTATAAGTAATTACAAAAGTTAAAAGGAATGGTATTTGGAGAAGGAGATAGAAAGATCAAGAGTGAAATTAAGGCTGACCATGAGGTGAAATGAAGAGCAACAGAGGGCAGAAGAGAGCAGAGAAGGAGTTAAAGAAAGACTTGACCATGATTTTGTATTATTACGTGCATAATGTTTCGTTAGAGGGCAAGGTCATAGAGAGATTAAGGACTCTATTATTTATTGCAGGAATTGGGGGTCACTGTGTTCGATAATGTAGTGGGTAAGGTAAGATCTTGATAAAAAGAGATTATGTTTGTAAGAGACGTATACACAATGAACTAGGCGACATAAAGGTTTGATTATTAATAGTAATAGAAAGTCCATCAAATGTACTATATATATACAACTAAATAATCACTATTTTATGAATAATATTCATCGTGTTTGTGTTACATATAAATTATGCTCGCGAGTTGCTTAATAGCGCATCGTGCCCACAACAAGAGCCCAACCTAACTCGATTATTTCATCATATCATGCTCGGTCTGACCTAAAATAATCTCATATATGATACCTAAAAAAAAACACTCGTGACATGTAATCGTGCTCAATAGATTGCTTGGCTTAATTGGCATATTTTATTGAAACATGCACTCAAGCTGTAATGGAAAGAAAATATGGAAATCGTGAAGAATTCATTTATTTAAGACATTGATGATCTCATGCGCTAAATATTGGTTGTGATAATTTAGATATTTTTATCTTGTAAAAGAAATATATGCTCATATTAGCACGATTAATCTTTTTTTTTGGTTGAGCTATTTCTTACTCACTGGTAATTCATTTTTAAATTAAGTATTGTTATGTAATCTCATCTTTATATATTGAGAGAAATGAATTAAGGCACTACTTTTTTTTTTCCAAAAATAACGGTTCACGGGCCTTTACTTTTTTTCATTTTGAGATTGTGACGATCAATGTGCATATATAGTAGTGTTTTGTTGCATGTTTTAGTGATTCAAATAATGTTTATGAGTCAAGAGTATGTAGTTTTAATAATAAATAGTATAACAAACTATGATCATTATGAATATTGAATATGCATGATTTGATGATTAAAAAAAAATCAACAATGACGACATTCTAACACTCGTTAAATACTTAAATGTGTATCTATCCATATAGAGAATTTTCGTGTTATTGAACACTCTGAGTCATTGCGATATTATATGATGTAGTAGGGTTAATGTTGATGTTTTCCCTTAAAAAATGATATTTGATATAATAATTCATTTGGCAAAAAAATAAAAATAAAAGTAAAGTGAAATGTTTATAAATCGACCCTTAAATATTAATGTGAAATCTATTACATTCGTGTTTAGTGTTGTCCCTTTTGTTTTTAATTTGTTTTAGTTGATCTGTTCTCATTAAAGGGAGGTTATAATTAAAAGGTCAATAATAGAAATATTATCAAAATAAAAGGGTAGTTTTGCATTTTTTTCCATAAAACGTCCATAATGATGTAGCGAATTCTAAATTTTAAGAATGAGCATTAACTTGAGCTTGATAAATCATCCACTAGTTGAAACCATATGGTATACATGTGTATTAATTACTTTTCATTTTTTAATAAAATGAAGATCCAAAATTTTTTTTTTTACAAATTAGTTTATTTTAATGATTTATTATATTCTTAAAAGTTTAATTTGATTAAAAAAATTTGAGTAGAGTACATTTAAAAGGGGAAAAAAATAGTATGACAAATAACAAGAACCCCAATTATTTTTATGATTCCTTTAACGTGTCTGTTTCATAAAGATAATTATACAACATTTTCACAAAGATAAAAATTTAACTTCCATATTAATTTTCAAGTAATGTTATTTGATTAACATGTAAGACAGAAACTATAATACTCGACGGTAACAATTTCATACAAGCCTGACTAACTAAATTTTCTCATTTCCAAGTGCAATAAACAATTTTCAAGCACATATCAAGAATTTACGGGCTTGTTCTTTTGAGTGAAAAACTCAAAAAAAGCCAACTCGAGTTACAACTTTATTCGAGTTCATGTTCTTTTAAGTTTAAACTCGAGTTTAGGACTCAAACTCGAATTCAAGTTTCTCCTTCAACTCGAGTTCAGAAACTCCAACTCAAATTAATGAACAGTATTTTTTCTATTCTTAAAAATGCTATAACTTTTTCGTTTTAATTCTGATTGAGATGATTTTTTTATGCGTTGACAACGAAAAGACGAATAAAACCCGACCCATATACCCTATTAAAATTTTTCATTAGCATTGAATTTTTATTAAAATACTATCTAAATACAAATTCAAGTTTTGACTCACTCAAACACAAACTCAAAAAGATTATTATCTCAAACCATAACTCAAATGTACACAACCAAACACAAACTCAAGTTACAAGTTCAACTCAAATTATAACTCAAATTCAATTTAAGAATTATACTCAAGTTAAACTCTAAAAGAACAAGTCCACATTTTCTTAATTTTGAGAAGCACTCAGAAAAAAGTTAGCTCACTTGTGTTTGCATGTTCTTTGCCACAATACAATGCTTGAATTTGAATTCTCAAAATCTTGACAATCTGCCTAAAGTCTCTCTCAAGTCATAAATACACTAAAAAAAGTGCCCCCTCCTAAGCGAAAAGCGGAGCAGAGAATTAGATGGCCAAGGATAAGAGTAGTGACTTTTAGAACTATTCGCAGCGCTACTTCTGCTGGATTTGCACGTCTCATTATGAGCACCTTTCGGAATGTCCTTTGAATCCTGGAGCTGCTCTAGTGCTGTTACCACTTCATCCATGTTTGGCCTATACTTGGAGTCTATAGCAAGACATTGGAGTGCAAGGTTGGCCGCCTTTGGGGTCCAAACTAAGAGAGTACTGGCCTTCAAGACATGAAGAAATCTACATTTGTTGGTGAGATATGGTTTTGCCCAATCCACTAGGTTGTGTTGTCCGGTTGGTCGGTTCTTGTCTATAGCCTGTTGTCCAGATAACATTTCTAGAAGAACAAGTTCAAAACTATATACGTCGCTCTTGGTAGTAAGATGACCTTTCGAGCAACAGATGAAATTCATAATGAGAAGAAAAGATATGAAATAGCACCTACGTTTCCCTAGTAGGTCGTTCATCAATCTATTCATATCCAGCCAACTTAGAAAGTGCTACTTCTCGTGCACTTTTCTCAATTTAATAAAAATTATTAAAAAAAAGTCATAGACAACGGAATGTATAGCCTGTTTGGTTAGAGGATTCGTTCTCTTATTCGAATTATGGTTCATGATTCGCTACAGTATTTTCTCTCACAAAAAACACACGTAAATCGAAAATGGTTCTAATCTCATGATTCTAATCCATGAACTAAACGGGCTCTAAAATTTCATGATCAAACTGTTATAGATAATCTACAAAACTCGTTATTGAGTCTTTAAAGCATGATTCAACTACCATAGTTTTCACCACTTAATCGTAAAATATAAAATATCTCCAAAGTCATATTATCACATGTCAACGAGACTTCATAATCTTGTACTCAGTCAATCTCTTACCAAGCCTAATCATCAACATGACTAACTTGCACCACAAGAACTTTAATGAGCTCACGCTCAGTAAGCAGAAATTATACATGCAATGACATGATGCATGAGCTCGTGACTCCTATTGTGCCATTTAGCCTTTATAAAGCATAATGCGCGCATTTTTAGGTTTCCTTGGGGCGGGTAGACATCCTTTCATCAATTTCTAGGACCACAAATGCCGTTGTGTGGCGTCCCACACTGCAAGTCCTCGTCAGGACAGTCTCTATTGAGAAATAATAAGGTCCACAGTCTCCTTCGAGACAATCATATCAAGTCTCCTTCGAGATTGACTTCCCTCGAGACCTTTTTATTAATAACATTTTTATCTCCATCTAGATTGGCCTCCATTGAAGCCATTCTATCATATGGATCATGCCCCGTCTTAAAAACTCTTGTTTCCTCCAGAATTTGACCTGCATCATCTTTAATTGCCTGTCTCCAATCCAATCTCACCCAAAAATCTCATAAAACCATTCCTTTAACATTTTCATATCATTTCTCAAATTTAGGGTACAATAGTATAATTATAAAAATCACGTGCTTGATGAATACTCCAGGTGCATAATATAAATCTCATACAAGAATGCTTATAAGTTAAACATATCAATGAGCATATAAATCATATAATCATAAAAATCATGCGCTAAAATTATTGTCGTTCTTGTGATGCAGTTGAAATTTAACTTCTACTTACCTCAAATCAGAGCAATAACTAAGAAATAGAATGATGAAAGTATCCACATCAAGCTACGCACTGGAAGCCTTGAAAAGCAAACTGCTATTGAATTTTGCTCTTCTTGTTATTAATATCTCAGTAGGAGGCATAGCCTATAACTGACTATGACAAGTTTTTTATAGAAGCTACACGCAAGTGTCAACAAAGTAAGAATGGAGCTGCTTTTTATATATTCCAGAGTAGTGACCGACAACTTCATGGCGGCTATATCATTTTTCTTTTTTTACATTAATACTAAAATAATATAACTAACATGCACGCCTATTTGCATACATGTTAGAGCTTCCACTTAATTAAAAAAAATAGCAACTAAACTAAAATCATGTCTACTTTTAATTAGTCAAGGAATAGTTTCATAAATCAATTAAATGATAAATTGCTAATTTCTCATACTTGTCATTCTAATAAAAATACTAAAATCCAATGATTCCATTCTAAATCATTTTTATAAATCTTATGATACAAGTTAAGCTAGAAGCTCAAGAAAACTGGATATTACAACTTTCCCCCTCTGTAAAAAAATTTTGTCATCGAAATTTGATAAGTCAGATTTCTTCAATTCAAATATCCTCTAGCGTGTCTAGTATCTGTATTTCTCAATTTAATTTCTTTCATGTCCAATAATGGAGTTTAACTTATACGCTAAAGACCTAAAATGTGCTATATCTAGTCACTCTAATTTCTCATAACTCAGTTGATCCTTCTTGTGTAGTTTTGGCAACATATGGCTTTTTTTTTAAAAATCCCCTATTATCAATAGCTAATTATCTCCACTATGGAGGGTCAAGTGTTGATCTTATAGGGAGTACGATCTCTATCTTATTAGTCAAGTGTTGTGTTGATCTTATTGGGAGTACGATCTCTACTGTAACAACCTATTTAAAAGTTTACGTCCTTCAAAACATTCAAACTCCAAAATTATCCTCGTGATTCCTTTTTTTTCTTAATCTCATAGACTTGCATAGAATTTCCTATGGTTTTGAGTTCAGAGAAGCCAAAGCTCTTTATGTCAGGGGACCGCAAAATATTATCCTCGCTTCTAGGAGTTAACAATGTTGAAAAGATGAGAATTTGCGACTCGAGTTCGTGCTTTTAGAATTAAACCCTTCAACAAGACCCAAAGAGACATTTCAACAAGGATTCGCTAGCAAATCAGGGACCTAAAAAATGCAAGAATTTCACTATAAAATACGCATCACCAGAATTAGTTTTCACATACCAAAGCCCAAATAAATACCGGAAAGGGACAATTGAGCATACAAAAATTCACCCAATTTATATGCAAAATAAACAAATCTATGAAAAATTAACCTACCATGAAACAAGCAGAACACTTTTCACCCCCAACAAAAAGGACAGAACACATCAATTACCACTTTTAAGCTTTGTTTTCTAGGAAACAAATAAGTAACTCCTAGGGGAAAAAAAAGGGAACCAAATACATTCTCATTAATATTAAAAGATCACCAAGGATTTTAAAAAATATTTCAAAGCAATCACATATACAATTCACCATTCCAAGAATAAATGAGTATTTTGATTAATAAAAAAAAGAAAAAAAAAGAAAGCCTATTAACTTAGACCTTGTTCGTTTCGCTGATTCGAGTTTAGAATTCGAGTTTTGTTACAGTAAAAAGCTCTCATAAACAATCACATCTAACTTTTTTACTGCAGTAAAAAGCTCTCACATACAATCACATCTCAACTCGAATTTTAAACTCGAATCAGCGAAACGAACGAAGCCTTAGTCAACAATTCATTGACCACAACCCATCTCATCAATCAATAAGAAAACAATGCCATCTAAAATAACCAGTCCCACGATTTTCAACTTCATGTGTTTACTTTGTTTACATATATGTTCTTGTGTATATATATATGCGCGCACACACACATATATATACACACACGTATATGTTCTTACATATAAAACCACATTGCTATTTATTGTTACTCGTCTATTTTTTGCAACTTGATATACTGCATATAATCCTCCTTATATGACTTGGGCGAGTTGTCTGTCAAGCGGGCAGGTAGTTTTCTTTGCTGTTTTGTTATAGCCATGGTACAATTGATTCCATTTTGATATGTTTTTGATGTATTAGTTGTTAAGGTTGATGCACTATAAAATAGTTAAAAATCGGATGTATTTTGACTGGATGAAAAAAAAAAAAAAAACCACCATGTAAGTTATATAATTAGTCATATATGAAATCAACATTGTGTGTAATATCATTAACAATAATAATCCTCTTTATATGACTCAAGTGAATAATCCTCTTTATATGACTCAAGTGAATAATCCACTTTATATGACTCAAGTGAATTGTCTGCTAAGCGGACATGTAGTTTTCATTGCTGTTTTGTTATAGACTTGGTACAATTGTTTCCATTTTGATATGTTTTTGATGTATTAGTTGTATGGTTGATATTTCTCTTAGTTTATATATACGAACTCCACCATTTGTTAATGATACTAGTTGAAACAAGGCGCGAACTCAGTGTGGGGGACAATTGCAAGTGTATGTTACAAATAAAGAAGTTTACTTCTTAATGACAACTATTTATATCAAAGCACAAATTTCTTCCCTTGATTCCTGGAATAACAAAAATAGTGTTATTTCATTCTCAATAGTCATTAGAAAAGCAAGCTTCAAGTACTCATGCAAGGACAAAGGAAAGAAGAGAAAATGTAATAGAAAAACAAGCAAATCTATTAAAAAAGAAATAAGAAGCAATATGAAAGAGATTGTGCTGTACACACCGCAAACAAAGTACATACTATCAAAGTACATACACAACTGTTCAAAGGTCAATAACTTGTTAGGTCAAAATCAAAACAAACTTCATGAAACATGGTTAAGTGTATAAGAACAAAGTTGAAGTGCAATCTAAACAATAGTTTCCAACATAATCCTTAGATTCTCCAACAACTATCTTGTAGATCTTTCATATACAGCATTAGCATGAAAAGCAATCAAAATTGAGAACACCCAAAGTAAAATGATAATTTAGTTGCCAACGAAGAGAGGAGAGGTATAGAGGTCTGGAAGGCAACAAATTTCTTCCGACAAAGAAAAAAGGAAAAAAAAAATAAAGAAGAAAAAGACAACAAACAACTAAAAAAGATCAACGTATGCAGGGATAGGAAATAGGCTATTTCATGTGAAGCCCACTTCACCTAACTACTAACAGCACTCCATCAACTTTTCGTCACAAAGCAATGAAGTTCCTTAGTTTGGCTTTAATACTAAGAGATTAAAAAGACATGGGCATGAATACTCAGATTAAAATGTAAAACTATTTAGGCAAAAGCAACTTATTTCATTCCCTGACCAGTAAAGGGTTTTTATTTTATTGTGTGTGTCTCAAAACAAAAGAACCTGTAGTTCAATCTTTCCTGATGAATAAAATAAAAGAAGTCCAAAAGAAAAACAAAAGAGTTATCAGCTCCTTTAAAAATAAACAATAAAATGAAAGGGAAAAAAAGTCAGGAAGAAACATTCTTATGTTTAATTAGCTTATATAACAATCAGCACATAACTTGGTCAAAATCAGTTGTTTTTTATACGACAAAGAAGAGTGAACGAAACTAATAGCTCGTATATATCATATTATGCCATCATGTTGGGAAGTAGCAATGAGTCTTCATACTGATGGATCCTTTCACCGCTCTTAATTTGTGATTGAGTGCACAAAATACGAAAACCTTTGTGCACACTAATTCAACAATGAATCCATTGACACAAGAAAAAAAAAAAAAACAACTAAAAAAACCAGAAGAGACACCTAGGAATAATCAATTGAATTACTCCACAATAGACCCATCCTTCGCCTCCACTCCATGTAGAAAAGTTGATTTCTCCTCTCATAGGAGCAGTGCTGAATGTACCAACAACCATACAAACAAAAGAGATACACAAGCATTCTTAGATACATCTCCAGCAAATGTGATATCTCCAGCAAATGTGATATCTCAAACTGAAGTCGGAAACGATTATTTTACAAGAACAAATCCTTTGACACACAAAGGAAAACAAAAGGCAACTTACAAAACCCATAGCAGGCAACGACCCAACGAAAAAAAGAAATGAAAAGGAGAAATAAATAAATAAATAAAAACAGAGCAGGCAGTGAGTATGGGAATAGGCGCGCCGGATAAACCAGAAGAGAATGAGAGGTAGCACAGCAAGAACAAGAGAAAAAAGAGTTAGTAGGAAAAACCAAATCGGAGCAGCAAGCCAAACCCAAAACAAACAAAATCCAAATTAAGAAAGCACAAGGGACCTCTATATAATAACCCAATAGTTTAGTTTCAGTCCCAATAACGATGGTGTAATTCCAATATAATTTTGTAAAATGAGAGTTTATTAGTGTGCCATAAACGTTTATAGAGAAAATCTCATACAACTTGAAATTTAACAAAACACACATCACCAGAATATAGAATGAAACAGAGGATAATGGGGATAATCATATTTAGAACGCTAAATTTCAATTCCTTAGCCTATCACTCAGATTTCCCCAAAGTTTTCAAGTCACAAACTGAAACAACAGATTTGAAACGAAAAACCATATTTTCAATCACCTTCAATTCATATGATTTCAACCAAAACCCGAAGAACTTTGCATATAACCTCCCATCAATATTTTTCAACCAATTTCTTCAACAAAATCCGAAAATATCAAAGGAAAATTCATGAAAAGATTTGCAGACCAAGAGCGGTACCCTAAATCTGATTTTCAGGTTGTTTTGCTGCAAAATGTTCACAATCCCACCAACAACGATTTCTAAGGAGTTGGTCCAATTCTTTTGAAGAATCTGCTGTGACTTTGACGAGAGAGGGCTGGTGTTTTTCTGCAGAAAGTGCGAGGAAAAGAAAGAGCGAGAATGAGAGTCGATGGGGCAAAGGGAGCGCAGAGAGAGAGGGGAAAAAAAAAAAAAAAAACTGTTACATACGAGTGAACATTGAGCGCTCAAGCGCTTTCTATTATGTAGATTACACACAATGTGGTGAGCGCTCAAGCGCTTTCTATTGTACAATTGCTTCCCATTAGTGTACCTTGAGTTAAGTCCAAAGTTTATAAACAACTTCCTAATTCAATTTGGGATTTTTTAGGATTAGAACTCAAACAGTTAATTTAGTTTCCCATTAAACTTCGGATAAAAAACGAATTTTAAAGCAACTCTGCAATCCGCTGACAATTCAACAATGAAAATATCAAAAACCTGCATTTTGAGTTTGATTTCAAAATAAATTTACAGGAAATCACTAAAACTAGTTTCCAAACACTTCAGTATACTCAAGAACTGAGAATATCCAAATTTAACCTGTATTCAGTCACAATTTATTCAAATTTAAACCTAAACCAAAATTCATCAAACGTAACCAAAATCATACTTTCTTAAGCCAAGAATTCAAATACAAGAGTGGATTTCTCAAGAAATCTTACCTCTAGCTCGTTGAAGAAGCCTTTTTCTCTTCCTTCATAAAAAATAGGAGAAGGTCATTTTACTAATTTCACTTTGTTGGAAAGTCATTCTAGCATTAATTAAAATTTTTTAGAATAACTTAAAATTTTAATGTTAAGAAAATTTAAAAATTTTAATGACATGATTAATTAAAAAAATTAATATTAAGCATACTAATATATCACAATTAACATAATTAAACTGATTTAATTCTTCCAGTTGTTGCATGTCTCTGTCTAAATATTTTTTCCTTCAAACCCTCTCAATACACTTTTTCACATGTAATCAATAAATAATTCAATGTCTAGTTCATCACAATAAAAACGTTTTTCTGCTTTTAAAAAAAGAACTAAAAGAGTAGAATTTAAATCAAAAAATGAGTTTTTTTAGTCCATTTTATCAGTAGTCTCAATTTTTAACTTTTAAATCTAATTAAAATTATATCAAATTTAAAAAAATATACAACATAAACAAATTCTAATATATATTTAACAGTTAAAAATAAAAAACTACATGTAGTTTATATTTACAAAAATTACCAAAAAAAATCCTCAAAAAGAACTTAAAACTTTTAAAAAAGTTTTAAAACTTCAGCCTAACTATATAAAAGAGTAGAAATTTGCTCTACGGTACGTCGCGGTCATCATTTATTATACACATCGTTTTGGTGCCTTTTTTTCTTTTCTTTTCTTTTCTTTTCTTTTCTTCTTCTTTTTTTTTTCTTTCTTTCCAAGCCTTTTCTTTACTTTTTTCTTATCTTTATTATTTTTAGAGCCTTTCTTGAGTTGACCTCTATATTGATAGTGTTAGTTTTTAATCATTAAATTTAGTCAAATTCACATTAAATTAAAAAAATACATAATAAATAATTTTTGTTACAGATGTGATGGTTAAAAAATAAAAAATTACTAACAGTTTATTTTTGTATTCCATTAAAGAAACTCCCTTATTTTTAAACTTAAAAAGAATAATTTCCGTTCTTCTTCTTCTTTTTCTTTTAACTCTTTATTTATTTCTTTTGTTTTCCATACCCATTAAATTTTAAGTCTTAAATCCTAATTCTAAATCTCAAATCCTAAATTAAATATATAAATAGTAAATATGTGACTATTGCTCATCCTTAGTAGTCTAAAAGGGTGAGATTTTGGCCCTTTACCTTTTCTTTCTTTCACTTTTACTTTTAGAGGCTTTCTCTGGCTTGCAAAAATGAACTATTGGGTAGTCCCTTATTTTTTAGCTATTTGATCTGTATTAAAATATGTTTGTTTTACATATTTTTTTATTTGATATGATTTTGATCGAATCCAACGGACAAAAATTGAGACTACCGTTAGAGCAGACTTTCAGAGAAGCTCCGTTAGTTTCAACTCAATTATTTATTATTATTATTTTTTTGTATGTTATAATAGTCCAAAACGATGAGTTTTAGGTATTTTTACTTTCTTTTCTCTTTCTTTTTAACCTTTTGACTTAAACTACTATTAACATATGTTTTTTTTTCCTCATAAAATTAAGTGTAGGAGATTCAAATTTTATAATTTATAATAGAGTAAGGAGTTAAGTTACTATTATAATATGTCTTCTACTACTTAAAATATAATTTTTGAAATTTTAAGTAAAATTTTTCTTATAATGTATATTGCTAGTATTTTACATTATAAAAACTTCAATTACAACTCCAACATACGTACATGATACATAGCTAAACTAGTATTGAAAAAATATAACAAAAGTACTGAACTCCAACTAGTAATGATAACAACAATAACACATATTAATAGCAAAAAACAACAATAACAACATCAGTAATAATAATAATCAGAATAATAAGTGGTGTTCGTTTACCCGTTAGTGTCAACCACTTAAACTTTGAAAATGTGCATTTAATTAATGTATTTATACTATAATTTAAATTATAATTTATAATTTACTATAATATTATTTTATATAAAAAAATATACATAAATTAAAAATAATTCTAAATCATAATTTTAAATCAATAACACCTGTTTGGTAAAAAGATTCATTCTCTGATTCGAATCATGATTCATAATTCGCTATAATATTTTCTCTCATAAAAAATACACATAAATAAAAAATAATTTTAATCATATAATTCTAATTTATAAATCTCTTCAATCGTCCACAAAATCTTGGTCTTCCTTTGCCAGCAACCGAATCATCTCACTTTGCTCCTTCCTTCTCTCTCTCTCTCTCTCTCTCTCTCTCTCTAAACATAGACAAAGCAGAGCATAGAGAGCTCAAACAATGGTGCCCACCTCACTGCCTCCTCTTCGCTCATCAAATGTCTCTTCAACTCCTCTCTCTCCTCTCTCTCCTCTCTCCTCATTCTCTATGTACACCTCCTCTTCCTCTATTTCTTCTTCCTCTTCTTCGTCTTGCTTTCTGTCTTCCAAACCATCTTACCGGCCTTGCTCTCTCCGGGTCAACATCAACAAAACCCATTTGAGAACTAGCTCCAAGTCCAAGGTTGTTCTAGAAAAGCAGAGCTTTAAGTTTTTCCCCCCCTCTGTTTTCAGTTGTTTATTTTCTGCTTTGTGCTGGGCAGGGCTTGAAAGTGAATTGCTCAGTAAAGAGTGAACCGTTGAAGGTGATGATATCAGGTGCACCAGCTTCAGGCAAAGGAACCCTATGCGAGTTGATTGTGCAGAAGGTACAGTGTAAATATGCATATGCATATATATATGTGTGTGTGTGTGTATATTATGTTGCATTATATACACAAAATCACATTAAGACTTGTTTAGAACTTCTTTGGTGATGCTATGAACTTCTAATTTTTTCTAAAAATTAAACAAATGAGGGAGATCTTCTCAAAATTTTGCTCGGGAAAACTTCTACTGTCCTTCTTAATTCTAAGATTTTATTATTATTTTTTTTAAGAGCAAAATGTTGAAGTATTAGAGGATCCCCATGTAATGCTAAATTAGCATTGTAAGGTCAAATTTTAGCATTTTAATAGAAAATCACTCTCCAATGTTATTTTTAGGTCTTATTCATTTCTTAAAAAATATCATATCTAACTTTTTCTACTATAGTTAAAAATTCTCAAAAAATATTACATCTCAACTCAAATTAAAAATTTGAATCCACACTGCGAAAGAGGCCTTAATGATAAATTTGGCATGTGCTTTTAAAAGTTTACTTTTAGAAGTTTCAGCATTAGCATTATAGCACAAACGAAAGTAACATATCAAATATGTTTTCGCCCTTTTTGGTGCCAATATGGCATTGTATTTGCATTGGAGGTGATCGTAGGCCTTAATTATTGGGTAAAGATTGTTATTTGGGATTACTTATTATGACCATGACGATTAGCTATTGCATGGAGAAATTATATGATTTTACCCATTATAGACCAGAAATCCATCTTGGCTATTCCGTCTAATTAAGTGATTGCTTCATATTTATGTATTCTTCAACACTCTCTGTTTTTTCTTCAGTTTGGATTAGTGCACATTTCAACAGGAGATCTTCTGAGAGCTGAAGTGTCATCTGGGACGGAAATTGGGAACAAGGCAAAAGAATACATGAATGCTGGTCGTCTAGTTCCTGACGAGATAGTAACAGCTGTATGCAAATATCAACCTTGAAGTGAACATCTCATATTGTGCATCATTCTCAACATAAATAATGATATGTTACTCTTTTTTTTCCCCTTTTTTTTTTTTTTGTGGGTGTGTAGATGGTCAAAGCTAGATTATCTCGCGAAGATGCAAAAGAAAAAGGGTGGCTTCTTGATGGGTATTCAAGAAGTGCCACCCAAGCACAGAGTTTGGAGGAGCTGAAGATCAGACCAGACATTTATGTTGTGCTGGATGTATGTTAATTGCAAGCACATATGTTCTATACTTGACTATGGAATGCGTTATGGAATTTGAATGTATTAAATCGAATGCATGATGCGTGGAAGTTTGATTTACTTGTTTGTGTCATCTCTTCTACGGTTTTTGATAAAATGGTTGCAGTTAGTTTATACAACCTTTTGCATTGCGCAATTGATTTTTACAAAGTGCTAATCTTTCAATATTCAGGTTCCTGATGAAATTCTAATCGACAGATGTATTGGAAGAAGGTTGGATCCTGTGACGGGGAAGATTTACCATTTGAAGAATTTCCCTCCAGAGACAGAGGAGATTAGAGAAAGACTTGTTACCCGTCCGGATGACAGCGAGGAAAAGGTATGATTGCACATCGTCACAAGCTATTCGTGAAGAGAGAGAACAGACCTGGGTTGGGATTGTTGTACATTTAAAGTAGACCTTTTTTTTTTTTTTTTTTTTTACTTGAAGCAAAAATAAGTAAATAGAAGTCGAAAAACTAAAGAATCTAGCTTCTCAAAATAAAGATGAAAGTGCATGTGCAAAGTGCTTCTATGTAAATTTACCAAACGTGCTAGTAGCACTTTTATGCGTAAAGTGCTTTTATAGACTCCAAAATCAATCCCAAAGTAGCTCAACAGAGTGACTTGAATGAGTAGCACACAAGGCTAAGGTTTGCACTTTTTCACTTTTATTGTAGCATGGTGAAAATTTTGGTTGAGGATACCTGATACGATACAAATGGAAACTATCATCTCTTTGAAGTGTCTGTTGATAATATTTAACATGATTTCTACGTATTTATCCTCTCACTGATCTCCTTTTCATTTTATATGGATTACTGTTGATCCCCTGCATGGCTTCTGATATTGGTCTCTGTATTTTTGTGAAGGTAAAGCGACGTCTTGAAGTATACAAGCAAAATGCTGAAACAATCTTATCCACTTACTCAAACATAATGAACAAGGTAGTTTAACACTATAAGTATTGGTATATGTTTTCCTTGTCTCGCATTATTTTGATCTGTTTAAGTAACACACTTATACACATGACTCCCTTCGGGAACATAGATTGATGGAAACCGACCTAAAGACGAAATTTTTGCCGAAATAGAGTCTTTGTTATCAGAAGTACAGAAAGATAAAGAGAAGCTGAAATTAGGTAAAGCATTTTCAAGGTCTAAAATTCATCATGTGAGTTTGCCCAAGTTACAAGTGTTATATCCAAAAAAGGATTTTTAAAACCTTGTTTCAAGGTAGTGAAGAACTCACTTTCAAACTGTTTGTTTCTCCTGCAAACTGTTTGTTTTTCTCTTAACTTTTTGTTCCTCTCTAACAGGGAAACCAACCTCTGGAAATGATAGCCTCTTAAATCAGTCATCTTCAAGTCAAGTTGTTGTGAGACCTATAACATGAAATTTTGCATGTGAATGCTTGTTGCTTACAAGAGTTGCTTTTATTTATGGAAGTTGCAATAAGTAATGTCGTATATTATTTCCTTATTTCTCTAGTAATTTTACAGGATAACTGGAGGGGTATTCCTACTAGATTGAATAACATTCCCCATTCTAGAGAAATTAGAAAATATTTCTATAACGATGTCTTACAGGCCACGCAAAGAGCTATAAATGATGGAAGAACTAGATTAAAGGTTTGATTTTTTTCTCTGAACATGATTTTCCTTTAAGTTGTGACAGAAGTTTAATCCACTACCAAGTTAGAACACTGCTACAAGAACCTGACACCTTTGGCAGGTGGAGATTAATATCCCAGAGCTGAATCCAGAAATGGTAAGTAAACTGTTTCCTTATTTACTTATAATTTTGTTTGGGGTTGACCATATCTTATGATCCACAGGATGTTTATCGCATAGGTACGTTAATGGAACTTGTTCGGGTTGTTGCTCTTTCATTTGCTGATGATGGAAAACGGGTCAAGGTATTTCAATCCTTCTTGCTTCTGTATTATTGATGTGGCTATGATAACAAGCGAGTTTGATGAATATTCCCTTAAAACCTTTTCTATAGTTTTATGTCGACTAGTTGTAAGCTAAATCGATAATTTACCTGATTTGTTAATAGTATATTGCTGATTTACTTGAGGAATTCATCAGTTTACAGTTATATTATTGATTTACTTGAAAAGGAACATAAATAGAAGCAAAAAGATTTACATGACGGTTTTTGAAAAGGGGTCTAGAGTTTTGCCAAAAATTCCCCTGATATAATTTTAGAATGATGCAAACGTTTTCCTTTTCTACTTAGGTTTGCGTCCAAGGATCTATGGGAGAAGGTGCACTTGTAGGAATGCCATTGCAGCTTGCTGGTACTCGAGCAATCTTAGAGTTCATGGACTGGGGTGATTATGGTGCAATTGGGACATTTATCAAAATTGGATCTATAGGTAGACAAACCATTCTTATTTGTCAAACGTACATCATCATATGCTCATGGACTGAATCCATACATAATAATTGTTAGGTTCATTGTTTATTGCTTATCATGTCACGTTTCACATGCCGCTAGATACTTAGCTTAAGTGTATTGAAAGAAAATGTGTCGAACAAAACTGATGGTGTGTTCAAGTTTTGATGGCTATCAAATCTAAACTGCTGGTGTGTTCATGTATATCAACCCTAAATTCGTCGCTATTTGTTTGAAAATAGTGTTACAAAAGAATCTGATTTCACCAATATATTTTCTTTATGAATGTGCTCAACTTGCTTACTGAAAAATTTTAATTTCACCCCAGGTGCCAAAGATGTAGATGAGCAAGACGACATGTTTATTCTTGTGGCTCCTCAAAATGCTGTAGGAAATTGTATTATTGATGTAAGAAGCCTACAGTGGTGCAATTTTGAATCATACATTTAAATTGAAAATGTACTTTGACATGCTCTTTAAGTTCTACGTTTTTGTTTCCCAATACTCTTGTGGTTGATTATACAGGATCTAAGAGCCATGACTGATGCTGCTGGGAAACGACCAGTTATTCTTATCAATCCTCGACTCAAGGTTTCATTCCTATACATGTCCATCTTTCTTGGAAAGAAAATTTTTTTATCTACGGCCCCACCTCTTAATAGCTTAACTGATCTATGATCAAAATAGAAGAGAAAGAATTGAGGAAAGAAATAGACCACTAAAGATTGAAGACAAAGTGTAGTCGAGAGATGATTCTAGACATAGAACAAGAATTAAAGAGGAGGATATATGATATCTGAATATTCATTCATCAACCATGTCTGGATAGAAATTATAAAATCTTAAAATATAAAACTACTATTGGCCCAAATCCTAATAGGTCTAGGATTAATTGGTAATCTAATATGGTATTAGAGCTGGAGATCTTGAGTTCAAACTCCTATAATTGTGACTCAAACTACCTTATTTATGGGCAAACCAAATGTTAAATAAGAAAATTACTAATATAAAATGACAGTGTTAAACTAAGCATAATCCCAAATTAACATAAATTCCTAATTTAGTTAAAACTAATTGTTAAATAAAATAAAATTCTAATCTCCATCATTCCACCTACTAAAAAGAACTTGACTCTAGCGAGTGAAAACTTGAAAGAATCATAAGCAATCAATTTGAGAAAAGATTCAATCACAACACTTAATTCTGAAAGAAGCCATAGGAGCTTGATATTTGATTACATCCTCACTCTAGAAACAAACATAGAAAATAGTTGAGGCCTTTGATCAACATAGCTCATTGAGAATGAAACCCATAGTAAAATATTAGAAGGAAATTCAAGAAAAACATGCATTAGATCCAAGGGAATCAAGAGAAGTTCAGGAATTTTATCATGCAACTTTAAAGGTAAATATTCAACAAAAAATTATGAGGAATCAGATTCAATGTGTCAGAAAAGTGATGTTTCTTTGGTAATAGTCTTGGGAAAAGAATAGGCATGAAGAACCTTGTCATTTTCTAAAAACTCACTCTTACTTTTATCCTTCTTGATAGGTGTATTATCCCGGGACCTATAGGTGGTGTCTGAATTACTAGGAACTTGTGAAGGGAGAATGAACTTAGATATATGTATTTTCTTTTTGCTTGGTGAGATTTGAGATATATTTTTTTTTCCCATTATGTCGAAATACACATTTATTCACTTCAGTGTCTCTGACCTCATTTTCATCTACCCAAGGAAGTCCTAATGACTTATGAGTAATGTTTCTTCACAGGACATCAGAACACATGTATCTCTTATAATAACAACTAATTGAAGACATTGTTCAGTACCTTCAAAGAAATCTTTACCTATCAAATTTATTCATAATGGTCTAGGGTGAGGCTCCATATACCAACCCAATTAAGATGGAATTAAGGCTTGTTGTTGTTGTTGTTGGTCTAGGGTGAGGCTCAGTTTGAAGTTTTATTCTGAAAATTACTGAGAGAGAAAGTATACTCTTTGATTTTCTCTTATTGAATGAATGAAAATTACAGCCACATATATATAGGACACGGTTGTAGTATGCAAACCGTGTGAACAGAATAAAAGGTAAACAAAAATAAGGGAAACAATCTAACCTAAATAAGGAAAGAGAATAAATAGGAAATTAGGTAACTTAATACAAATATTCAGCTATCTTAATATAGAATGATGTAGTCCTGGAAATCCGAACTAACTAAGGTAAGATTTCAACACTCCCCCTCAAGCTGGGTTGTAGATATCCTCCATACATAGCTTGCAATTCAATTCTTCAAAGTTAGTTCGTGGAAGGGCTTTAGTGAGTAGGTCAGCTGTTTGAAACCTGGTAGGAGTGTAGACCAATTGTACAATTGCTTTCTCAATCTTTTCTGAGATGAAGTGCCTGTCAATCTCTATGTGCTTTGTCCTGTCATGGTGCACGGGATTCTTTGCAATGCTTATGGCTGCTTGGTTGTCACAGAACATCTTGATGGACTTCGCACTTGGTACTCCTAGCTCACCAAGTAGTCTCTGTATCCATATTCCTTCACAGATACCTAGAGCTAATGCTCTAAATTCAGCTTCTGCACTACTTCTTGAAACTACAGATTGTTTCATGCTCCTTCTAGTCAAGATTTTCCCAAACATACGAACAATACCCAAATGTAGATCGCCTGTCTAAGATGTCTCCTGCCCAGTCTGCATCTGAGAAGACTTCAATATCTCTACAGTCATTCTTCTTGTATAACATGCCTTTTCCTGGTGTCATCTTAAGATATCTTAAAATCCGGTTCATAGTTGCCATATGTTCTTCTGTGGGGTTCATAAACTGACTCTTCAGTCCCTATCTTTTTCGTTGAATCCATTGGAGTGTCTATAGGCTTACATCCCAGCATACCAATTTTCTTTAGTAAGTCCATAACGTACTTTCGTTGAGAGACGAATATTCCTTTCTTGGATCGTGCCACTTCCATACCTAGGAAATATTTGAGCTCACCGAGCTCTTTGATTTCAAATTCCTTGGCCAAAAGCTTCTTCAATCTCAATAATTCTTCTTCATAATCACCTTATAGAATAATATCATCAACGTACACAATCAGTACTGCTATCTTCTTCTCTGGAGAGAACTTCACAAACAGTGTATGGTCTGCCTGACATTGAGTGTATCCATGCCTCACTACTGACTTTGCAAACCTGTCAAACCATGCACGAGGGGATTGCTTGAGTCCGTATAGAGATTTTCTAAGCTTGCACACTTTGTTGCTATTGAGGGAATTTTTCAGTCCCGGTGGTATTTTCATAGACACTTCTTCCATATCACAATTTAAAAATGCATTTTTTACATCCAGTTGGTGTAATGGCCAATCTCAGTTTGCTGCAAGGGAAAGAAGAACCCGAATTGTATTGAGTTTGGCAACTGGAGCAAATGTTTCTTGGTAGTCTATTCCATAGGATTGAGTGAAGCCCTTAGCAACTATGCGGGCTTTTAGTCTTTCGATACTACCATCAGCCTTATATTTGACAGTAAAAATCCACTTACAGCCAATTGGTTTCTTGCCAAGTGGGAGATTTGAGATTACCCACGTGCTATTTTTCTCCAAGGTTTTAACTTCTTCACCAACTGCCTTCCTCCACTCTGGATTCTTGAGAGCTTCCTGAATAGAATTAGGTACCTGTACACTATCAAGACCCGAAACAAATGCCTGATAGGATGGAGATAATTTTTCATAGTAGACAAAGTTGTATATGGGATGTTGTGTGCACGTTCTAACACCCTTTCTTAGAGCAATCGGCAGATCACAATCATTAGTGGTAATTACTTCATTCTCAATCTCAAGAGTGGGAGTTTCCTTACCTGAGTGAATTTGAATAGGTTTTGGACTCAGTACAGGTTCTTGAACATGTGCGAGAGGAGTTGAGTGCTCTATCTCCCTTTGGGGCCTTTCCTTCTAGCATAGACACGAAGCTCTTTACTTGCAGTTTGTGGTGATTTGGAGTGATTGTGGACAGAAGAGGCTGGATTAGAAACTGGATTTGGAGGTGGTTGACTCTCGGATTCACTGCCAGGTTGTATATGATCCATAGAAACTGGAACATTCCAAAGCTGATATTCCCTCATGTTCTCCCCCTGAATTTCAGATTTGGGGTAGTAGGGTTGATGTTCAAAGAAGGTTACGTCCATTGAGTTGTAAAATTTCCGGGTAATAGGAGAATAACACTTGTACCCTTTTTGGTTTGAGGAGTAGCCGAGAAAAATGCACTTGATGGATTTAGGGTCTAATTTGCTATGATTTTGCTGATGGATATGAACAAAGGCTAAACACTCGAATACCTTTGGATCTAAGGCAGAAACAAGTTTGGTATGTGGGTAGTTTTGGAGAAAGACTCGATAAAGAGTTTGGAATTTGAGAACTCGGGATGGCATTCTATTGATCAGGTAGGCAGATGTAAGGACAGCTTCTCCCCAAAAATACTTTGGAACATTAGTAGAGAACATGAGAGATCGAGCTACCTCAAGTAAATGTATGTTTTTTCTTTCTGCAATTCTGTTTTGTTGGGGGGTATCAATACAGGAACTTACGTGGACTATGCCTTGACTCAAGAGGTAATCACTAAGGATAGTTGTAAAGTATTCTTTGGCATTGTCAGTTTTTAAAACTCGAATCTTGGTTTGGAATTGGGTTTGTATCATGGAATTGAAATTTTGAAATTTTGGCCAACTTCATTTTTCTTTCATGAGAAATATCCAGGTCAATCTAGTGTGATCATCAACAAATGTTTCCTGGTAGTCTATTCCATAAGACTAAGCCTTTAGCAACCAGGCGGGCTTTTACCAAAAGATACGAACCAGACGAACCATCGAGTTCCTATTATGTTTTTCACTCTTGAGGGGCCCCAGACATCACTATGGATCAAGGCAAATGGTTGAGATGGCTTATATGAATGACTAGGATAGTTACTACGAGTATGTTTGGCAAGTTGACAAATTTCACAATAAAAAGACATTGAACTTTTATTGATAAACAAATAAGGAAACAATTTTTTCAGATACATAAAATTTGGATGACCAAGACGATAGTGCCATAACATAATTTCACTATCTTTATTGACATAAGAATTTAAAACTGACTGACTCTTAAAGGACACACCACTTGCATTTTGAGCTTGTCTTCTTAGAGGAGTGTTGAGTAGATAGAGCCCAGAACACATCTCAGTACTGCCAATCTTCCTCCCCGAATCCAATTCCTGAAATTCACACAAGTTTGGAAAAAATTTAAGGCTTGTTCTTTTGATGTTTTTGAGTTAGGTAATTTGAGTGTAGATTTTGAGTTATAACTTGAGTTGAAGTTGTAATTTGAGTTTGTGTTTGGTTGTGTACATTTGAGTTATGGTTTGAGATAAGAATATTTTTGAGTTTGTGTTTGAGTAAGTCAAAACTTGAATTTATATTTAGATAGTATTTTAATAAAAACTTAATGCTGATGAAAATTTTTAATAAGGTATATGGGTCTAGTTTTATTCGTCTTTTCGTTGTCAACGCATAGAAAATAAAATCATCTCAATTAGAATTAAAACGAAAAAGTTATAGCAT